GTGTGTGTATATATATATATATATATATATATATATATATATATATTTATTTATTTGACTGACACAATTCATTATGCAGTTTCCCAAGAGCACTATCTGGAATTCTGAATGGCATACAGAGGCATCTACTGGCTGAATAATATATTGCACATAACCATATCATTACATTCTTACCAGAGAGAAACAATGTGATGGTTCCAATTTATGTACAGTTATGTATATGCAATGTTGTTTAGATTCCAATGAAAGTTTCAGGTGAAAATGGTGGAGAAGTCTGTGGGGAGGTGAATATGTATGGAAGCATCTTGAAATTAATTTAAAAGGTAACGCGGACTATGGCTGAAAGATGGTGGGGTTTGTCTGTTCAGTGCATACATGTAACTCTCATTAATATTAATGGCATTTAATAGAGCTGGGATCCAGCTGCAAAAATCAGGTCTGGATCCAGATTTCAAGCAGCTTGTCATGTGATGGTGGTTAAGAGTCACAGAAAGGGTTAAATTTTCCTGGAATAAGGGAAATGGTATTATCCCTAAAGTTACTGTGACCCCTCTTTCCTCCAACCCTATGCTTCACTTCAGAGCTTCGGCCTAGAACCTGCCGCTGGCGCCTTGCTACATATTTAAAGGAACAATACACATACCCTCATGTTGCCAAAAGATTGAGGTATCCTGATCCAAGCTTTTGGGTTGGGACCATCTCTATTTTTTATTTTTGGCAAGTCACTGTTCCACCTTGTGCCTCAGTTTCCCCATCGGTACTATGAGGATAATCATTGTGACCTCCTCTGTAAAGTGCTTTGAGATCTAAAAATGAGAAGTGCTATATAAGAACTAAATGTTGTTGTTATATAGTGCCAATGGCTAAGTGGTTTTACAAATCCTATTCAGAGTATGGATGAGGAGCCCCAAAAAGGATTGGGCCACATTTCCTGAGCACAGATCGCTGTTCTGTTTTAATCGCGTCTGGAGAACTAAAAATGTTGGTATGACTAATATCTAACAGACCAACTCCTCATGGAAACAGGGTGGCCCACTTCTGCCAATTTAAATACCCATGTCTGGAGTCACACCTGCCTCTTTCCTCTTCAGACCAACTCCATCATGCCAGCGCCAAGCTTGTGTCTGGACTGGGCATGGGCCTGTGCACAGATGTGGGTGAGGAATCTTCATACTCTCACCCCAGGCACAGAAGAGCTGCAGACCCACTATGTGAGGCTACTTCCGCTATGTGGCTAAGTAGCTCTCCATGCCAGTTACATGCTCCTAACATGGGACAGAGAATTGGAGGACCATGAATGGCAGATCATCTGCTTCCACCTCCCCCACAGGCCTGCTCTCACCTGTCTGTGCCCTGCAGCCTCCTTGGCTCCATGCACTACAGCCCCCCAAATCCTACCTTTCCCTTCTACAGCAGAAATGCGTCAGATCCACTGCCGGAAGACCCTGTGCAACCATAGAGGCAGAATTTTGACACTAAGCAACACAACCACATCCACTTTGAGCTACAGCCTGCAGTCTTCTCACTTAAAACAAGTCAATGGGAGTTTTGCCTTCATTAGGGCTCCAGAATCCACCCCTTTCTACAGTGATTACCATTAAAAATGGAATGTTTTCCCACAGTTACCACACCCTGGTGTCTGAAATGCTGCAGGTATCTTCTAAGATAGCAGCGTGGTCAGAGAAGGTAAACACTGACTCCGTAACGCAGCCACTGTAGTTCTCCTTCTCCTCTTTTCTTGCTTTGCTTTGGAGCCCCCATTATTTTGGGGGCTTGCTTTATGCATTAAGCAATTGCGTTTTTTACTGCTGATAGTGTAAGACGTTTGGGTCAGATACCTTTCAATGCATGTTTTGTGTTATCTCCTCCTTAGAAGCACCTTGGACATAAGCTGGCTTTACAAAAGTCAGAATTTGGCCAGAGCTACAGTGCTTAACAAGTGATTAAGCAAGATGGTTAACAAAATTCTCACACAACCCATCCATCTCCTTCCTCCCCACCACCCCCTGAAAGTTATCTTGTCCCACTTCTCACCAGAGAACGAATAGCAGAAGGGGAAATCTCATGTTACTAAGACTGTATTACACTGACAAAGTATACTGTGGTACATTCATGGGTATGCAATGAATTACTAAATAATGTGGCCCCCAATAAACTCCATAAGTGACTGGGAGGGGTTGCAGCCAGCCCAGAGGAATAAGGTAATGACACTGTGGTTCTGTACAACATACCAGTGCTTATGTCCCCAAGATGAGGTATCCCCAGCCCAACCACCACAGAGCCCGCTTCTTTGAGCTGTGTGCAGAAGTGGATTTCACCTATAGAAGGAGGCGATGTTTTACTTAAAGAATGTGAAAACTGTAATTACTGCTAGACTGAGAACTTGGACATTAACGTTCTCTCATTTCCTTTCCTTCCATTCCACCTTACCCCAGGCTTCAGCTCTGTCTGCCAAGTCCTGTGAAGAAAACGTTCCTTATCCTGATCACCCAGGGATTGCGGCTTGCTGTACCCACCAAGGGTTAGAGCGAAAGCTCTGTCTGGCAGCCCTGCACCAACCGCCCAAAGAGTTCTCTACATACGTGGAGCCATCAAATGAAGAACTCTGTGAGGCCTTCAAGAAGGACCCCCAGGATTTTGCAGATAGGTAGGTGTAACCCACACACCTGCTGGGTGAGGAGGTTCTGTCCCATCTAGTGGCACTGAGGGGAGAGGGAGAGGGAGAGAGAGATGAGTTTTCTCTAGTGCCTTAACTAACAGCCAGTTGGCTTGTAGCTCATGCGGTAGAGGCTCATGTTTTAAGCTCCAGAGGCCCCAAGTCAACAGATTGTCTCCATCAGATTCTGTTTTTTCTCTCTGACGAATGGTTGGGATGCAGACAAGTGGAAGTGCTATTAAATGGGGGTTAAGCACTGGATAGAAGTTTATTTTGTGTGCTTTATTGTCTCTGGCTCCTGCATGGATGCACAAGGCTGCAAGGGTACAAAGAACCTTTCTCCCCTACCCACTATTTGTGCCAAGCACCCTGGGGATGTGCTCCACTCATCATGGGGCAGAAAGGACCATGGCTTAGCTTAATAAAATATTACATGGTGTAGCAATAACGTTCTTAAAGACAATGGGGTCGGAGTGTCTTTCTGGGTGCTGTGCGATCTGAAGAAGGGTCTCTGTGGTGCCTCTCAGCAACGCAGTTTTTAGAAGTATCTTCTGCTTGGATTGTAGTAGTAGTTGGGGGTCAGAAGGCACCATGAAAGGCTGCGTGTCTCTTGGTTCAAGAAGTTAGGACTACAGACACTCCCTGACTTATGCAAACGTTCCATTGCAGAACGCCTTGCGTAACTCGAATTTTGCGTAAGTCGGAAACGTATCTCCGACCATTACACACACACAAAATGCCCTCCTATTTCTAGCTTACGGAACTTTTTCCGTAAGCTTGGATTTGGGTACGTCGGGTTTACATAACTCGGGGAGCATCTGTATTGTTTGTTCTGACTCATGTGGTGGAGAGATGGTGGGAAAAGTAAGGAGGGGGGGAAGCAGAGAGCCCTTTGTACATCCTGAATCTCTGACTTATTGTTGCATTCCTGGGTTCTCCTGAGGGACTAACATGGGGACTCAGGGTCAGATTTTCAAAGGCGTTTAGGTACTTAAACCTGCAGATAGGCACCTAATACAAATGAATTGCAATGCCTAGCTGAGTCTGGTACCTATCTCTCATGGAAATGAATGGGAGATAGGCCCCTAAACCAGGTAGACATTTTTATAAATTCTGCTAGACACCTATCTGCATCTTTAAACCCTAAAATCTGGCCCTGAATCTCTCTGTAGAGATTGATAGTAACATTTCTTTTTAGATGCTTTAGAGAGAGATTTTCAAAGGTACAACAGTGATTTAATCACACAACTCCCACTGACTATCAAAAGTATTTGATTGTCTTTGCAAATCTCTCTGCAAATCTCTCCCTAGACACATCAATGTGCGAATGAGTTGTCTGACATTAAGTACCCAAGTTTGCCAACTTTGGACTTATCCTGCTGTTTATTGTTCGATTTATGAATACATTTACTTTTATGATTTCTTTCCTTCTCCTGGCGCTAGCTGTTTAATAATCTAAGAAAATGTAACCAAACTACAAGATAAAGTGTCCAATGTGATTGCCTGTCAAGGAAGCAACTGTCTCATGCTCCAGGGATAAAAGAGAGATCCATTAACTCTGACATTTCACCCAAGCAAAACCAGGGAGAATTTGGAGCTCATGTACTATATTTAGGGCCACCTCTGTGTGGGTGCACAGCTAGGCTGGGGAGAGGATGCATCCCTGTAACACACAGAAAACAGCAACAATATGGCAGTGAGTTGTGTGGGAGAGGCAGTCAGAACTACTGCCCGCACTCACAGGCCTACAGTGGATAGGAAGGGACATGACCAGAGCTCCCCTGTTGGCATTATGCTTTATACAATCATAATGTCTCCCTCCATATGACTTAGGCGCTACAAAGTCTCTCCTCTCACTCTGCACTCCATTGATGCACAGGGCCATAACCTAGCTCTACATATTTATCTTTTATTGCTAGCCCACCTAATTCGCTCATCAGGCTTGGCAGATGCCAGTCATGACAAAAATGCAATTTATTAAACCATGTATTAATTTATCTGAAACTAATCAGGATGCTACTAAACCAGCCAACATAATATTTTTTATACCATGGCAGTTATGGAGACTCCGTAAGGTCAGGCTGACCTTACAAACTGTAATGATCATCAAAAAATTTATACGAATAAACAAACTTGCTGGAGTATTTCTGTTCTGATCTCAGTTAGTGGAGCAGCGACTCATTCACATGGGTTTAAGCCCATTTTTGTGAACTGGTTTGTGTGGGCAGACTGCTATATGTTCATGGCTACCACCATTTTAAAAAAATGGAAAATAGCATATGTTACATTTTGCAAAAACACTGGGGTGGGATTTTCAGAAGCCCAGAAGGGAGTCAGGTGCCCAACTCTTTGAAAGTTATTGACTTTCTTCAGGAATTGGGTGCCAGATTCCTTTAGATGTCTTTGAAAATCCCTCTGAGATCTGGTCTATACTACCCGCCTGAATCGGCGGGTAGAAATCGACCTCTCGGGGATCGATTTATCGCGTCCCGTCGGGACGCGACAATCGATCCCCGAATCGGCGCTCTAACTCCACCAGCGGAGGTGGTAGTAAGTGCCGCCGACAAAAAGCCACAGAAGTCGATTTTGCCGCCGTCCTCACAACGGGGTAAGTCGGCTGTGATACGTCGAATTCAGCTACGCTATTCACGTAGCTGAATTTGCGTATCTTAAATCGACTCCCCCCTGTAGTGTAGATGTACCCTTAGTTAACAAATCCTCCAGCCAAGTACTGTCTCTTTTCTAGGTTTACGCATGAGTATTCCAGTAACTATGGACAAGCCCCACTGCCAGTATTAGTGGGTTCTATAAAGAGTTACTTGTCCATGGTTGGGACTTGCTGCATTTCACCAAGCCCTACTGTGTGCTTCTTGAAAGAGGTAAGTGTGTCCGTCCTTCACTTGCTTCCTGCCAACTTCTACAGCAGAACAAGTCTAAAACTTTTTTTAAAAAATTGTCTCTTCTATTGGGTCTTTAATCTTGATACAGTCCCTATCCCAGTGGCATGGGTGTGTGTGTGTGTGTGTGTGTGTGTGTGTGTGTGCAAAATGTAGCACCATGCATCATAAGTTATATGTACTGTATAAAACGGTGATGGAGTGTTACCTTAGAACATTCAGGGTGCCATTTGGAAGGCTACCAAAGGATGTAGCGATTCAGTCCTGGCATCCACTGACTTTTAATCATGATTAAGCTGTGTGGCTCTCGCCAGTTTTGCTCCATGAGGAAGCAAGGGAACATTTGCTCTGCATTTGATCCCCCGGGGTTTGCACTCCTTTAATATGTACTTGTTGAAATCAAACCCCAACACTCCAAATGAAACTCGGCTAAAACCATTAAGTTCCGCACCAGGACCTTGCTAAATCATGAATTTTGATAGAAAATCTAAATTTGTCCAAAGTCCACTCCATATGTTTCACTGTGAACATTTCACACCACTCTCGTCATCTTACCAACTGTCTATAAGATGCTGCCACACATGATGAAAACGAGCTCAGTAAGGGGTTTGATTGCAACATAATCAAAAAATATCCCTCTTATGTAAACCTCAATCTTGTCACACTCAGAGTTGTCTTTGAAGGAACTCAAATGTGAAATTGCAGAACTACTGTCGTCAGTAACCTATCATTTAATCAGCTTCTGTACCAGATGACTGGAGGATAGCTAATGTGACGCCAATTTTTAAAAAGGGCTCCAGAGGTGATCCCGGCAATTACAGGCCTGTAAGCCTGACTTCAGTACCAGGCAAACTGGTTGAAACTATAATAAAGAACAATATTGTCAGACACATAGATGAACATAATTTGTTGAGGAAGAGTCAACATGGTTTTAGTAAAGGGAAATCATGCCTCACCAATCTACTAGAATTCTTTGAGGGAGTCAACAAGCATGTGGATCAAGGGGATCCAGTGGATACAGTGTACTTAGATTTTCAGAAAGCCTTTGACAAGGTCCCTCACCAAAGGCCCTTACGCAAAGTAGGGTGCCATGGGATAAGAGGGAAGGTGCTCTCATGGATTGGTAACTGGTTAAAAGATAGGAAACAAAGGGTAGGTATAAATAGTCAGTTTTCAGAATGGAGAGAGGTAAATTGTGGTGTCCCCCAGAGGTCTGTTCTGGGAACAGTCCAATTCAACATATTCATAAATGATCTGGAAAAAGGGGTAAACAATGAGGTGGCAAAATTTGCATATGATACAAAATTACTAAAGATAATTGAGACCCAGGCAGACTGCGAAGGGCTACAAAAGGATCTCTCAAAACTGGGTGACTGGGCTACAAAATGGCAGATGAAATTTCATGTTGATAAATGCAAAGAAATTCACATTGGAAAGCATAATCCCAACTATACATATAAAATGATGGGGTCTAAATTAGCTGTTACCACTCAAGAAAGAGATCTTGGAGTCATTGTGGATAGTTCTCTGAAAACAACCACTCAATGTGCAGCGGCAGTCAAAAAAATGAACAGAATGCTGGGAATAATTAAGAAAGGGATAAATAATAGGACAGAAAATATCATGTTGCCTCTATATAAATCCATGGTACGCCCACATCTTGAATACTGTGTGCAGATGTGGTTGCCCCATCTCAAAAAAGATATATTGGAATTGGAAAAGGTTCAGAAAAGGGCAACAAAAATTATTAGGGGTATGGAATGACTTCCGTATGAGGAGAGACTAATAAGCAGGGCCGGCTCCAGGCACCAGCTTGTCAAGCAGGGGCTTGGGGCGGCCACTCTGGAGAGGGGCAGCACGTCCAGCTATTCGGCAGCAATTTGGCGGACGGTCCCTCACTCCGGCTCGAAGCGAAGGAGCTTCCGCCGAATTGCCGCCGCAGATCACGATCGCGGTTTTTTTTTTTTGGCTGCTTGGGGCGGCCAAAACCCTGGAGCCGGCCCTGCTAATAAGACTGGGACTTTTCAGCTTGGAAAAGAGATGGCTAAGGGGAGATATGATTAAGGTCTATAAAATCATGACTGGTGTAGAGACAGTAGATAAGGAAGTGTTGTTTACTCCTTCTCATAACACAAGAGGTAGGGGTCACCAAGTGAAATTAATAGGCAGCAGCTTTAAAACAAATAAAAGGAAGTATTTCTTCACACAATGCACAGTCAACCTGTGGAACTCCTTGCCGGAGGATGTTGTGAAGGCCAAGACCATAACAGGGTTCAAAAAAGACCTAGATAAATTCATGGAGGATCTGTCCATCAATGGCTATTAGCCAGGATGGGCAGGAATGGTGTCCCTAGCCTGTTTGCCAGAAGCTGGGAATGAGTGACAGGGGATGGATCACTTGATGATTACCTGTTCTGTTCATTCCCTCTGGGGCACCTGGCACTGGTGTTACCAGATGTGCCAGTTACTTTGGGGTATGCTCATTTATTAGGGTTAGTCTTCTTGGGGGGGGGGGTTTCTGTAATTCTATTAATGTACTGCTTGTGTCACTTGTGTGTTCATATGGAGCTCTACTTCTCCCTTCTGCAAGTCCCCTCCCAATGGAGCTATCCTGCAGGACCTAGGTTCCCCTGGGTTCCTCCAGCCCCAGAATCAGATGAAAATACACACACACACACACACACACACACACACACACCAAGTCTGAGCGGACTGGGTCAAGCAGCACTTTCAGTTGCCACCCTTATATGCCACAGGTTCAGCACATCCCTATCCCCACTTTCACATTACAATTGTTCTGGTAGTAACCCTCTTGATGAGCAAACCCCTCAGTATTTTTGGGCGCTACAGGGATCGTTAGCTTAGGTAAAAGAAGTGTTGCTGCAGAGCGAATGGGGAAGCTAAAAACACAAAAGAGTAAAGTTCAGCGAGACGGGCCACACATGAAACAAGATATAGCCGAATAGTGTAGAGTCTTTCTATTGCTATGGAGATTCATTGTAATACACTGCACAATCCCTTAAGGGAAACTATGAGAGCATGCAAAATCATTTCCTTGGTATGGAGAGGGAGCTAGGAAATTTAGTTAGGCGGGAGAGACGTTTACTATGCCACTGGTACCAAAAAGGGGGTTTGCTCTGAATCTACCTCCATACACTGTCTCACTGTGCAGTTCAGGAAGATCGCATTTAGGGTCTATAGTTTTTATTTGGTTTCCTAGCATCACCATGCACCCAGATTGGAATAGGGTTTGCTGCTAATGCAGTGGAGGCAGGTGCACCAATTCCCTTTGCTTTCAGCCTATAGGGAAATTAAGTAAACATCACAAACATGATGTTCATTTCCTACTAAGTGGCAGCGGCTAATCATCACTCCGATCATTTCCAGCAACCTGGAAAACTATTTTATATGTTGAGAGCCAATTAGTTCCATTTAGCTGTTTGAAAAGAGGGAAGGAAGCCAAGACAACCAAACTGTTGAATTAAAGGGATCTAGTGGCAATCCTCAAGTTCACGGTTTGGCTTGCTCAGTATTAGACATTTGGAGACAAACCTTCCGCTGGTGTAAATTAGCATTGTCTTATGGACCTCAGTGGCACTGTGCCATGCCACACACCAGCTGAGGATCTAGCGTGCGATGGTTAGCAAGCCAGAAAGAGATTGTAAACAATTATGGCTGAAACAGGACTATTTCCAAAGCTGAAGTACCAATCAGAAAAGTATCTATTATTCATGAGAACAGATCATATCATCTAGCTCTGACGTGCCATGCAATGTATTTATTGTAGCCATGTGCAGGCAGATTTGCCTAAGAACAAGGAGTTCTAGTCTTTAGCTAGCAGATGGAGCCATGGCACATGAAGGCATAAAATCCAAGAACAAGGGGAGCAGGTTTGAAGCGTTTACTGCAGTAGTTCCCAAACTTTAGCAAATAGAGAACAATTTCACTATTGAAAGGAGTTGCACAAATCTAAGTCTTCATGGTGTTCTGATGGTGCTTCGTGATGTGTCTGATGCAACACTGCTTCAGTCTGTCCCACTTCTGGCTGCTGGAACAGTCGTATCTTTACTCTCGCTCTGCCTGTTGGGTGTTGTTTCCACTCTTACCTGAGAGAGAAGAAAGGTTGGAAGATGGATTTCAGTGGGTCTGACGCTACCAGTTTCTCTTGTTTAGAGTTCCCTGCTCTGGGTGAAACATGCATGTAAGTAATATTGGGCAGCACTCCTATAACTAGCACACCGCAAGCTCCAGTCCAGAGCCACAGGTGGAGGATCACTGCTGTGAGCTTCTCAGCATGGAGATCAAGATCTCCCAGGGGCGGGGAATCACAGATTGGTGAGAGAGGATCACATATTGCTAAATAGTAAAGCAGGCCTGGCTAGATGAGAGACGGTCCTGGTACGGAAGCAGAGATCCCAGTCTGTAAAAGATAGAGAAGCGTAAGTTTGCAATTCTAAATAAAAATAAAGAGATTCAGAAGTTAAAAGCCACTTTTGAAAAGGAGTGAATTACTAGGAAGGGAACTGCCAAGTTAACACATTTCAGGCCTGAATTTCTGACACTCCTCAGGACAGAGAAGAGGGCAGCAGTTTGTCAGCATTGCAACCAGTAAAAAAGGTATTCATGACAGGAAGAAGGGGCTCCAGTTGGAGTACCCCAAGTGACCAGACATCTTACATGAGCCTAAGGACTATATAAATCTCCTTGATCCATCACAAAACTGAAGGACCATAAATGATAGCCCAGGGGTTCTCAAACTGGGGGTCAGGACCCCTCAGGGGGTCACAAGGTTATTACATGGTGAGTCGCGAGCTGTCAGCCTCCACCCCAAACCCCGCTTTGCGTCCAGCATTTATAAGGGTGTTAAATATATAAAAAAGTGTTTTTAATTTATAAGGGGGGGGTCGCACTCAGAGACTTGCTATGTGAAAGGAGTCACCAGTACAAAAGTTTGAGAATTACTGTGATAGTGGACAGCTAGGAAAACTGTCATTGCAGCATTGCTTGGTACTGAACACCATTGAGAGTTAATGGGGATATTTAGACTCATTTAGGATAATAAACTGAATGACACACTGACTGATAGGAATGCTCCGGTAGACTACAAGTAAAGGAGTCAATCTGTGCCTAATGCAGTCCTTCTCCTTTCTGTTCCAGAGATTAGAAAGAAAGACTCTATCCATACTCACCACCATGTCAAACAGAATTTGTTCCCGCTATGCAGTATATGGGAAGGAAAAATCAAAGTTCAGGTACAAAGGCAATACTATATGTTCAGAAGTGAAGGTGTTTCATATTTGAATTTCCTGTTTACTGTAAATTTGTAATAAGATTCAGCAGGATTTGAAAAATAAGTGCACTATTGTATTCTGTGGAAAAGTACTGTATTTGGTAGAGGTACAAAGCAACCAGTCTAACCTATTACCATTCTTTTGTAGCATGTCAGAGCTGTGAAATCCTTGTTTAGATGGGCTCTCATTCAACCCAAGATTATTTCAACTGACATGGCTAGAGATCTCTCTTGTATATGGTTGGTGGAGTCTCACATCCAATTAGAAGGGTGATCAAGAGGCATATACTGTTTCTAGTCTGTAGAGATGAGAGATTAGATTGGACTTTCGGCTTTCTAGTGGCATTGCGAACAGCGGGGGTGTTGTTTGTGTACTGAACACAGACAGCAAGATATTAATGTTCTGGGCTCTTGATTAGTGCCGGAAGGTGGGGTAACATAAGAATAAAAGAGTGTATCAAGGATAAAGGTGGCAAGTGCTCATATATACTCTTGGTTTCAGAGTTAAATTTGGGTATGGAGCCATGCCTCTGGATTTCTCAACTCCAGCTATTTAGGCCAACATCTTCAAATGAGATTTCTCAGGTTTGGCCCTTTAATTAATGTGCTGCTGAGCTCCCATATGGAATCACAAGTGCTCAGTGCCTCTGAAAATCAAGACCACTTATTTAAGTACTTACACAGGGAGGGAGGTACCTAAATTTAGGCACTCATGCTTGAAAAAGTTGGTCTTTTTCTTTCTCAACTACACTGTTTTAATGAGATTCTTTTTGTTTAAGGTATGCATCTTTCAAACCATTAGTCCATCTTTAGAGAGGGCTAAAGTATGACATCTCTACTCACTTGTAACTCAGTCATTGCTCAGGCATCATTCCCAGTGACTGCACAGGGAGCTTGCCAGAGTAGAATATACTACGTAAGGAGGAATTGGCCCAATGATCCTTGTTTATGCAAGCATGTGAAGCATTTCAGTCTTCCAGTTCGTTATGGCGCACTCCCCATTAGAGCACCCACTTGCAACAGGGCATAATGTTGCAGGTATCCCCAGTTACAGCCCCTTCTGCTGGCCATCCCCATCTGCGTGGGTCTTCCATAGCCTGGCCCTCCAGGCAAGTCACCTAAGAGTTCAAAGTTCAATCCCCTTTCAAGGCACTCAAAGTCCCAACTCACCGTTCTTACTGGACTTCTCTTCAGTTCCCTGCTCCTTATAGCCTTCCCCATACAGAAGCCTGCCCTGCGGGTCTCTTCTATTCTTTAGTCTCCTTTCAGAAGACCCAGGCCCAGGATGGTCTCCCTGGCCCCTTGTTCCAAGGGTCCGCCACAGTAGTTAGCTCAGTTTTTCAGCCATAGACAACACCAAATTGGTAGGCCTTCCCGCACAGACAAATACTACTGCCACTACAATCTCTTCCACACCGAGCTCCCTCAGCCTGTGTAAGGCCCAGCAGGTCTATACACAGGCCCGCAGGGTTGCCAGGCAGTGAACACCACCTCCACACTGACACCTGTTACCAGCTTGTGCACCCCAACCCATGACCCACTGCAGACACCGACCCCAGGAAGTCTCACCTCTAGGGGTTTGACAGATAACAGCCTCATGGCACCTGATTGTCTCCGGGCAGGAAGAAGCGTGGTCTGGCCAGGGGGCCCTGCTGGGCGAAGGGGGAGCCCATGCCC